CAATTCTTCGGACAAATTTACTTCGGACCATGTCTTGCCGCTTCGCTTACATTCTGCCCTGACCGTTCTTCTCCACGTTGTTCTTGGTCTCCCCACATTTCTCCTCCCTTGGGGATTCCAATCTAAGGCCTGGCGCGCCAGTGATGTTGTTGGCCGCCTCAGAATGTGGCCTATCCATTTCCACTTTTTCCTTCTTATATCTGGACTCAGATTGGTTCCTGCTTTGTCAGAATCCACAACTCCTCATTCATTATTCTTCTGGGCCAGAGGATGCGGCATATAATCCCAAGGCACCTATTTACGAACACTTGCAATTTTTTCATTTTGTTCTTTGAAACCAGCCACGTCTCACTTCCATAGAGCAACACAGACTTGACACACGCATCAAATATTCTGATTTTTGTACTCCTTGCTATTTGTGTAGACTTCCACACCGGCCGCAGCCTTCCAAATCCACTCGGGCTTTTGATATTGTGTGTTCTATGTCTCTACTCGCGCCTCCATCAGTCGACTTCGCTTTAAAAGACTACATCTACTCTTAATATATGCGAATATTAAAATTTATGAAATTAGGTCAATTACCGTAACGTTAAAATTTTTGTTGTATTTAATTTTGGATATTTTTAAAAATGAAATGAAAAAGAAATTAAAAATTCCTCCAAATTTAATTTAATTTAATGTTTAAATTTTAACAGGCAAATATCTATTGCGGCATTGCGTCCTAGAAACTATACGTCATATGTCTTCGAAAAGTTGGAATAAGAAATTTGTTATTATTAAATATTGGCCAATCATAAATTTTTTACCAATTTTTTAATTACTTACATAAATTTTTAATTTAGAAATTGCTTGATTTCGTCATATTGAGAACTCAAATATTATTTTAAAAGTATTTTGTGCCTATATGGTATTGATAAATTTTGTTTAAGTCCTCCAACCTTCTTCCAATTATTTAAATTCTTTCATAAATTTGATTTGAAATCAGTTACATTTTTTCCAATGCTCTTGCTCTTCAATACCATCATACAAAAATTTCTTATTATCAGATGATAAAATTTAATTTAAGCATTTAAACAAAATCAAATCAATTTAGTTCCTAAAATGTAATTATAAAATTTGTGTGGAAACAAAAAAATCTTTAAGAAATTGGGAATACTTTTGATATACTTACACCTCCAACTAATAACAATTATTTTAAAAACGGAATATTGTTCGACTATAATTTTCTATATATAATATCCTTTAAAAATATCTTAGATCCTGGAAATACAGACCCGGATAAAAGTTTTTCGAAAAAAATAACAATATGTGCACAACTACTAAATTATCATAAACAAATTTTCTATTCTTACGAGTACACGAAATTTTGGGAATGTTTCAATATCATCTGAAATTTTAAATAAAATTCATAAATTTCCTAATTTTATTCAATAAATTTATGATTAAATCTTACAGTGCACATTTACACATGAGAAATATTGCGGTCATCCTCTTGCCCATTTATTAATTCCTTCTCTTGTTTTAGGTTCCTATTACTGATAAAAAATCAAAGAGTTTTCATCAAATCGCACCCGTAATATTTCTTTTATAATTAAAATTAATTTCCATAAAATAAAATTTCAATAATATTAAACATATTTGATTTATTTAAAGATAATCAGAAAACTATACTCGAATTGAAGGGTAATTCAAGAAGCCTGCCAAAAGTACACACAAAATTACTTTTCATTTCATTTAAAATATTATTTTTTTTTTCTACATTTTCCATTTCGTAAGCTAATAATCATCACAATATCAAAACTCCTTTCATTAAATTTCAATTTCCTTTTTAATTATATCTATATCCTTTTTAAAATGACCAGGTAAATGAAAAGTAAACAGATACGAAAAAAAAAGGATTTCAATTACAATCCACAACAAAAACATTGTAAAATTTATTGACCCACAAAATAAAAAATAAAATTAATATAAAAAAAAAAATTTTCTTCCCATCGAAAGAAAGTAAAAATCTTTGTAATTATTTTCCTTCTTCTTTTTTGTACCTTATTTTTAAAATACCTTTCTTCCTTTTTCATTTCTCTTTTTTGATTTGATTCCTTTATTTTTATCGCATCTTTTCAAAAAAAAAATATCGTCCTTATCATCATTCAAACAAAAAAGTATTACAATATATCCGTGTCGATCAATATATGATCAGAAACATTAAGCCTGGCATCAAGGCAGCTGCCTGACAATGCATTTTAATTTTGCATTTTCTAACCCAAACTCGATATACATAAAAAAAAATCAAGATCTACGTTATAATATTATGCATTTAGCATTCATAAATCGTTATTAAAGTTCAAAATATAAGTATAACAGAAAATCCTTCAGGACCCAAATTGAAAATAATCAAAAGAAATGCAAAAATCAAAAAAAAAAAAAATATAAGTTAAAAATTCAAAAAGCCATAAGCGTATACAATTTTGACCAAAATAAATATTCAAACCGTATTACGATCTTAAAAGCCTCATCTATGGCAGGTGGGCAAATTGATCCCAAAATGAAAAAAAAAAAAAGAAACAGAATTGAATTTTTTTTTTTTCTATTTTTTTTCATTTTGTTAAAGAGTTCCTAATCGTGTGAGAAACCAACTTCCAAAGTGTTTCCCACGGTAGCTAAAATGTTAATATATATGTATGGCATATGTATGAATATATGTATGTGTATTTTTTTTATATTATAAGAATAAATTTCAGTATACACGCATATTTATATCTTATTTCTTAAAATTCCAATACACATATAGCTACGAGTATATACACACAATTACTTGTATATAGAAAAATTCACCATATGAAATATGTTATACAAAATAATAATAATTTAAATGTGTACATACAATATGAAGTCTCCTTTTTCTTGTATATTATAAAAGCAAACATTTCCTTCATTTTATAATGTTTAAGAATTTCGTCATCAAAATAATAAAAGATTATTTTCAATGTATATATTTTAGAGTTACCAGATTATACAATGCGTTATGAAAATATATTCGAAGCGATTGAAAATAGTTTTATAAGGTAATTCTTTAATGCTTTCTGTTTTTAGTTTTAAGAAATTCGTCGGTTTTCCTTCATACCATTGGATGCGGTCATTGTCAACATGAAGCTTGTATTTGGAATCTTCATAGAAGATAAAATTATACCATATATCATAAGAATAATTTAGATGTTCTTTGACTTTGAATAATTTGAGATGTTCTCAAAATAAGACATACTTAGTTCTGAAGAATTAAGCGATATACTTAGTTCTGGATATTTTGCTTCCTTACACATGCTCCAGTTCGGCTTTTAGTTTTGTCAAAGTAATGAATATATATTTCGCTTGACCGTAAACCCAACAATTTTTCTTCTACAACTGATGTTTTTTATGAACTTCCAGACGCTAAAGCTCATTCTGTAAATTTACAGAATAATTAATAATTTAATAAATTTACAGCAGTAGCCTATATTTTTTGTCCAATTTTGGGTAATTACAGTCATCTGTTACACAACATACATATGATTTTTCTTCCAATCTTATATTCGCTTAAATATAATTTTGTCTTAATTTTGTAACTAAATTAATAATTACTTAATACAATGCAGGTTTACTACTTTTATATTTGCTCAGAAAAGCAGACCAAACACTACTCTAGAACATAGATATCGTATACTGTACAATATCGTTTTTGAAAGTCTATATTGAATCCATAAAATTTAGAAACTATACAATATACCAAAGCCCGTCCTTGATTTTAAAAATACTAAATAATAAAATAAATTGTGTTGCTATTATAATTGCATACTATGTGAATACTGAAACTATATATATATATATATACTCTCCACAAGTATATAAAAAACATATTGGCAACCCTAAAATAATGAACTCGTTCATATTATAACAAATAACTTATGTTTTATTCAGAATTTCTTTAAAATACAAAAGCCAACAATGAAAATAATATACTGTACGTGTGCAACACTATATAGATTAAAAAATTTATAACAATAAAAATTATATTTAACAAAAAATAACAAAAATAAAAAATAAAAAAAGTAAAATAATATCAGAAATAGAGAGGGAAAAGGGTCGCCTCCTTGAGTATTACAAAAGGACAAGTATAAGAATAAGAAAGTAGAAAAAAAAATACAAAAACAAAAAAAATAATAAAAATTGTTCTTGTTTTTTTTTTCTTATTTTGCAGTTTACATTGTTTTACTTTTTACCGTACTATTTATTAACTTAATATGTGTGTACATTGAGGAGAAAAAAAGGATCTTATAAAATTACAAAAATATTAAAACAACAAGAGAAAATTATGTGTGCATGGCATGGCATTTGATGAAGAGAATAAAACGGGAAAAATTTTATTTTTTTTTTTTTTGTTTTTATACGAAAATATAGGGAAGAGAATAAAACGTTTTTAGTAATGAATGTGCGTTCATGTACAGCTAGCTCTTTACTTGATCCCTTTATACTTCGACTTCTTTCCCTCTTTTTAATTATTTTCTGTTTCATATACATTTTGTATTTATTATAATAAAAAACTGAAAATTAAATGACGACACAGTTGAGAGATTCCAATAAAGTTCTTAGATTGGGGTTGAAAACTATGGGAATTTTTTCCTTTACATTATACAACATACTTATACCATTTAATAGGTTCTTTCAATTCTTTTCCTTTTACATTGTTATTTTTATTTGTTTTCATTTTTTTTTTCTTTCTTAAGTAAATGTAGTACACAATATCCTAACTGATAGTAAATTAGTAACGTTTCATATAAGTTTGAAATTTTTGTTTTGTTTTTATTGTTTTTTTAGAATATCATTTACAATTTTTCGGAAAAACTATAAATATAAATTACAAGGTAAGATTTGATATCATTTTAAGTTGAAATTTTCTAGAGTTAACGTCGCTCTATTCAAAAAAATTTAATTATTTTATAAAATTAAAAATTCTATATAATTAAATAATGGCGGCTACAATGCAAATACATGAAATGTCAAAAACATATCAATATCGTAAAGTTATGAAACCGATGCTTGAACGTAAGCGACGTGCTCGTATCAATAAATGTTTAGATGAATTAAAAGATTTAATGGTTGCAACATTAGAATCAGAAGGTGAACATGTTACACGTTTAGAAAAAGCTGATATTTTAGAATTAACAGTACAACATTTACAAAAATTAAGACAAAAACGTAAATTAGGATTAGAAAATTATTTTCAACAAACAAATACAACATTAAGTCAAGCTGAAGGTTTTCGTTCCGGTTTTATATATGCTGCTAATGAAATATCAAGAAATTTAGCAAATTTACCTGGTATTAATATAACATTTGGTACAAAATTAATGACACATTTAGGTAAACGTTTAAATCAATTACAATCAACAACAACAGCAACAACAACAACATCAGCAACAATATCACCAATTGAATCATCAACAACAGCTTTAATATCAAAAACACAAATACCATTAAATACAGCAAATTTAAAAATTCCAATTCCAATACATCATCCGATAACAATTAATTGTGGAGGACAAATTCAAAATATGCAAACAACAACAACACCATCATCATTATCACCAACAAATTCTTCTATACGAAATAATATTTTATATGGATCATATTCAGTACAGTTATCACCAGTTTCAAATTATTCACAAAGTCCAAAATCAAATATTCATTGTGATTCAATAACAACAAAATCAGAAAATATAAATTGTATTAACGGTAATAAAATACAACAAGAATCAGAGGATAATGTCTGGAGGCCATGGTGAAGTTGGAAAAGAACAAGAAAACAATTTCATTCACGTTTTTTCAAATTTGTTGTTGTATTGCTTTTGAAGTAGAAAAATAGCTTTTAAATTGTTAAAGAAATAAAATCGAAAAATCACAAGAGTGTCTTCCCAATAATTATTGTTAAGTTTAATAATATTTTTTTTTTTCTTGTAATGGAATAAATTTTTAATAATTTTATTAAAACACAAATATATGAGCTTTAATATTTTGTACCATTGAATTTTGTGATATAAATTAATTTTTCATAAATATTAAGATTTTCAAAATAAAATAAAAATAAAATTATTTAAAATGTAGAATTTTAATTTTTCAAAATTTTATTTCCAGGATGAGATTCAATTAGAGAAACGCTTTAATCAGGCATTTCTCAAATAAAAATCAAATATTAGAATTTCTTCTTAAAGTTAATTGCTTTGGTTTGTGGAAAAAGAGCGCGAAATTTAATTTTTTCAATAAAACAAATGCCGCTGAACAATTTTTAGCAAGAGGATGTGAAGGGCAATTGCTACTAATTCAGGAATTAAGATCCAGTTTTAATTAATATTATTATGTAATTATATAATTTGCTATCAAAATTAAGACAAATAAATGGTACCTTCCATCTTAATTCAATCTCCATTTGAACCTAGACTACGTGAATATTGTGAAAATAAATTCTCTGTTTCATATACCCAAATATTATAGAGGTGCATATTAATTATTAACCCTCTTCAACGCTCGTTAAATTCCGTCCTTTTACTTTAAATTTTAAAACTCCTATATTTTTTTTTTTTTTGCTAAAAAACTGTTTGTAAATATTTTTACCTTACTAATTATTTATCATCGAAATTATGGTATAAAATTTCCAAAATATCTACAAAAGTAATTTAATACCAGTGAGATTTTTAAATGAACTGGAAAATATAATATAAAGCTTCCAAAATTTTCAAAGGATATGTAAAGTAATTGGCTAATTCAAGAGATTGTTTAATACATACATTATAGTGTTTATGTGTTTCGTTGTCAATAGAGAAAATTTAATATGAAGGAACAGAGTACGTATGAATTAAAAATTGTTAGAAAATTAATTGCATACTTTTAGGTTACGCATAGTAAAAATTTACAGTACAAATTAAAATTTTTAAATTAAAACAGGTGCTGTAAAATTTTATAAATTTATATTGCATTTAAGGAACACACTAATATGTAAAACACATGTATTTATAAAATTTTATTTAAGTACAAAGAAAAATTAAAATTTTATTTAAAACACAAAATTTTGCGCTCTAATTTAACTCTTGAGCTCTGATCAGAACATCATTTTAATCGATATTTTGCAAATTTCAGGTTAACCTTAAATTGTAAATTTACTTATTGTTCTAAGACCCGCATAAGAATTTTTATTATTAGAATTAAATAAGATATAAAAATAAAAATTATATAATTTTTTTTTTTTTCAAAAATCCGACGGCAGACATACGAGTATTTTTTAAAATTAAGAGCAGAATTTGAGCATATATTTGATAAATGTTTGAAATTAAAATTTGAGGAGCAATTTAGGAGTTGAAATATGAAGTGATCTCGTACACATCCCTTTACAACAACCAGTAAGGTTATTTTTAAATCCCAGAGTAAATTTACTGTAGGTCACTGTTAAATCCAAAAAAAATATTTTTTGAGTAAGATTTTTTTGTAATTAATAATTGTTTTCAAATTCAATTAATTAAATATTGTTTCGTATAAAATGTAGTTTGATTTAGTTATTTAATATTGAATTTAATTCAAAGCGTTGAATTCGAAAGATTTGATTGTAATCCTCAGGAGTTGTTTGGGACAAGTCTAGCTTAGAAATACTGTAAAGTACGTAATATGGAATCAACTTGTTTATGAGCAATAATTTACAATAAAAGCGCTCGCCTCGGTAAATAAATTATGCATGATCGTAACTTCTAACTTCCAATTAACATTTCTTATTTTAACATTGTAATGACAGAACCTAAAATAAATTAAAAATTTTTCTTGTTTACAAATTAATTAAATGAAAAACAATAGTTTTTTTTTATTCAATATTATTTTTAATAGTATACAAAAAAAACACACATTTTTTATTTATTTATTTATTATTAATTTTCGACTTTTTTATTAATGTTGAATATAAAATCAAAAAAAATTAAAAAGTGCAATTAATGAGATCAAATCAAAAAATTATCAAATTTATCTTTGTTAAAATTTAAAAAATATTATAGAAAATTGTGCAAAAACAAAAAAATTTTGTTAATATTTTGTTATAATTTTACGAAATATCCGATGTACATTTATAAATTTACATACATATATAAAAAAAATAAATGGTATTAATATCACAGACCTATCACAAAACCTAATTAAAACAAATCTAGTCAACATCAATTTTCATTGGGATTCAAATGTTGACATACATACATATTCCGTTTAAATTAAAACTTACATCTAAAATATATAAAAAAATTATAAAATACTTATGTAAAAATGGAAAGACATTATTTTTGTAATCATGATTTTGTATGGTGTACCAAAAATAATTTGGTATTGGTATTTTCTTAAAAAACTAATAAAGCTTTAAAAACTTTTCACAAAATTAATTGTTATTTTTTTTTCCAAAAAAAAAAAAAATGTATTTGAAAATAATTTATTCCCAAGTATAATTGGAATTAATTAAAATTCCCAAGTATTTTCTTAAAATTTTTCAAAATCATAAATTTCATTTTCAAAAAAAAAATTAATAAATTTGAATAAAATCTGCCGTCGGTACAATTAATTTTTCAAAATTACTCAGTTCTTGAAAAAAAATTTGCATTTCAAAAAATTGAGCAGCATAAGAACTATAAAATATTGGTTGTATTGGTTGTTTTGAACTATTTATGTGAGTGGAAATTGAATAATTTTTAAAAATTTTATTTTCTTATTCAAAATTAATGCATGATTTACAACAAAAATAAATTATTTGTATTAATTCTGGTATAACACTTAAAAATCCACTCGTATTCAATAATTATTTTGAAATGAACATGAAAATTTCATGAATTTTGTTTTATAAATTGTATAACACATAAATTTCATAAATTGTATAACACAGTAGTCAAATTTTGTAATTACACAAAGCAGAGCTAATATTTTTGAGTGGCAATGTTTTAAATTAAAAAATTTACACACTAGCGCCACTCAAAAAACTAGTTCGTTGTGTTTTTTTACATACTTGGAAATCCCATTTTCGATTAATGTTGTTTGAATAAATTTAATTTTTAACTAATTTTTGCTTAATATAACAAAAATTTTGTATTTGAAATAAATTTTAATTTCCTTAAATACTTTTGTATAAGAGCTGGCCATTTAACCCTTATAAATGCAATTCTTATGATTAATCGTAAAAATTCAAAATTATTACTTAAATTAAAAAAAAAAATAATTAAAATCTAAAAAAAATTAAAGCTTCTTTTCGCTTTGTTTCTTACAAAAAAAAAAAAGTCAATTTAATAATTTCTTTTTTTCTCTTTTTCTAATAATAAAAACATTTTAAAAATATTCACACTGGTTTCAATGATCTCTTAATATCTAAGTAGTGATTATTAAATGAAAAGTACAAAAATCTAAATGGTAAAATTATAAAAAAATTCTTAAAATTAAAAAATTAATGAGATCGTTTATAAGTTTCTATTCTAAAATCGAAAAATATTTTTAAATTTAATTGATGATTTTGTCATTATAAAATATTTGAACTTTTATAGAATAAAAACAATAAGGAAGACAATTTTATTATTTTTTTTTAATTTTTACATTATGAAAAGCTATAGTAAATATATATAAAATATTAAAATTATGGAAAATTTACCAAGGACGCCAAACATCTCCAGAATTTTGTTGATTTTCTTCTACATCAAATTGTTTATCAGTTTTTGAAATATTTTTCATTTGATTATCATTTTTAATATTAGAAAATAAAACAGTGGGACGACAATTATTATTTATAATTGAATTTGGTGATTGTGGTGGTGTTGTTATTGCTATAACAATGTTATTACTATTACTATTATTATTTTTAATATTATTAAAATTTTCATTTCTTTCTTGTTCCATTAAATTTATTTTTGATTTATCAATTAATTCAAATCGATTTATATTATTATTTAATATTGGAGATGATGATCTATTAATTTGTTGTGAATGATGATGATGATTTAATGATATTTGATTTGTAATATTTGTTGATGATAAATTTTCTTGTTGTGATAATGGTGGTGTAGATGATGATGTATTTAATATAGATTGTGGTGGTTGTAAATCTTTTAATTTATAACCTAAATGTTTCATTAATTTTGTACCAAAATCAACATCTAAACCAGGTACTGAAGCAAATACTTTTGATACTTCATATGCAGCTTGTGTATAACCGGCACGAAATTTTTCTGGATTTATTGAATTATTTTGATTTATAATTGAATTAATATTATTTTGTGATGAATTAAATTGACTTTTACTTTTTAAATAGGTGACTGTCATTTCTAATATATCAGCTTTTTCTAATTTAGTAATATGTTCACCTTGTGCTTCCATTGTTTCAACAATTAAATTTTTTAATTCATCTAAATAGTGATTCATGCGAGCACGACGTTTACGTTCTAATAATGGTTTTGTTACTTTACGATAATGTTGAGTTTTAGACATTAATTGCCCATTATGATTTTCAATTACCGTATTACGCATTTTATAATCAAATTTTTATTTCAATTTATTAAAATATTAAAAAAAATAATTATTTTTATTAATTTAATGTAATTGGTTTTCAATTTATCGTATTAATTTTAGTGTTCTTATTTTTTTAAATGATGTTCACGCACGTAATTTTAAAATGAAAATGATTTCTTTAAATGTAAGACGACCCTTTTTGTATTAAAAAATTAATGCACAATATTATGATGAGAGATCAAGAAAGTATAAATCATCCCCCAATAGTGTAAAGTGTACTTACTATATTTACACACTCACATCATACATTCATACAAACCTGTATGTATATTAAATTAAAATAATAAATATGTAATTGTATTTCATGTATAGGAATGAAATGAAGATTTTTACTTTATTAATACTATGGTATATATACAGTGCACAGGTACATTTTTGATTGTGTGAGCCCGAGCACTCACTTATATTATTTTTATACCTTGTAATAATGAAAATCACTAACACATAGAAAACAACCTTTCGTGTGCTACTCTCAATTCTAGTTTACGCTACTTACGCTCTTCTCTTTTTTTACTGCTGTTGCTTTGATATACTGTTATGATCAATGATTTTACTTTGGATATTATGCACAATGAAAATCAAAGAGAATTAATTTTTTTCTTCTTATTCTTTATTTATGCATTTACAATATAATTTTCTTAAGAGTATAAAATGATCGTGTAGTTGGCTCATTCCTTATGTTGAAAACATGTTTATATTAATAAACTGGATAGAGAGATCTTTGATGAAAAATGGTTTGTTTTATATAAATGACAAGGACATTTATTATAGGTTTTTTTTTTACTCTACAACATTAACGGTTATTGAACGTTATCAATATTTGTAGGGTAAATAGGGTAAAATTAGGATGAATTTTTTTAATTATGTACAAAAAAAAAATAAATATTTTTGAAGAATTTTTTGATGAAAATATTTATTAGTAAATATGAGAAAATTTTGCATTGTCAAAATTATAATAACTGCTTACTAGGCCAAATTATTTTAAAGAAAAGCGTTTTATTGAAACTTTCGTAGGGGTTTCAGTAGAACTATAACAGACTTATATGTGACTCACAAAATTAAAAATTTACGCATTTGGAATATTTTCATAAAATTCATGAATTTTGGAATATATCTAAATATTCCAAAAATTAAAATTATTTCATGTTATTAACAACTCTGATAATGAATGTCTTTTAAAATTCAGTAGAGTTCTATTTTTCACTCAATTTTTTTTCTCTTCATTCCAGAGTACAACAAAGTGTCTTTATTTAGAAGAAAATCATAATATGTGATATCAACCCCTCTCCATCTGGCTGAAATTAAAATCACATAGAAGCCGGGACTTTAATTCTTATTCAATCATTAATTTCAAATTGAAAAAGAAAATAATATTTCTAACATCATTCGCAATAAATTTTATATAATCATAAATGGTATTACTACAATATATAGTTGCAATATTTGTTATATAGTTCCTTGCCTCATTAGAACGTTGAATAAATTTTGAAATTGAAGCACCCTTAGAACAAGGTTGTGATATCATACTTGTTAATCAACAAAAAAATTTTGATTAAAATATGCCCCCACTTTACCTTAACTTAAATCAGTATATATATACTAACTCCCTTTTCATATATATATCATTTTAAATTACTAGCAAGAATAAAAAATCGCGTGTTCTGCAATAAACAACTTATTTTCTTATTCTTTATTTTTATTTTATTTTCTTGTCATTTCCTTTAAGAAATCATAGTTTTACATAATTAAAATTTTTTTTTCTTTTTATAATTTTTACAACAATACACATATCTACTAACATATTCAATATTATTCGCTCGCATATTCATTTACATATAGCTCACCTATACTAAAATTATAAATTAGGAAATGAGAGCACGACCTAGGCACGATTATTGTACACTATATTCATATATATTGTATACTTAAGCTACCTTAGAGTAGTAACAATTCAACAACACATATAAAATACAAAAACAAAAAAAAATTTCTTTCTCAATAAAAGGTATGTTTATTTTTTTTTTTCAAATGTACGTAAATTTTCCACGTACCGATCACGGGAATAAAACTTGCTACCAATATATAAATAAATATATTAAATGAGCGCACCCTCATTTATCCGTAATGTATATACGAATAGAAAAATGCATACTAAAAATAAAAAGAGAAAAAAATGATGTAAACAACACATGTACATATAAAAAAACGCATGCTTTCATGCATTAAGATCAATTGATTTGAGAGTTAGAGTCAATTTCCTTCTTATAAGACGACAGACATCAAAAATAATATTTCAGTACAAAATTAATTCAGAAGAAAAAAAAATAACAACAATACTGAACGTAAATTATGCAGTCTCTCATATTCATTCAAACTTGATATTTAAATGTATTGGTGTATTTTGTTTTCCTCTCTCATTCTCATTGTGAATGCATTTCAAGTCGAATAAACGAATAACATAAGAAAAAACGAAATAATACCGAAATGACGATCAACATTTTTGATCCGTTTCCATGCTCGTGCATATCTTCCTATATACATACATACATACACACATTTTTATACAAATATTACCCTTAATATAATTTTCTTAATTTCAACACCGCGTCCCTCTTTATATATTCCCTTCATTTTTACTTTAAAAAGAACGTACCTTAAGAGTTCAACATTACTTTGGGTTTGTTTTCAGTTTTCTTGTTTTCTTTTGGTTTTTGTTTTCTTTTTCTTTTTATATTATGGCTTATGATCATCGTAAATACTGCTATTGTAACATTATCGTCTTCCGTATTTAATTTACATTTATTTTATTTTTTATACATATTATATAGTTCGTTATGCTCTTGAACTGTGTGTGCGCTTACTTGAATGTTCTTAATGGAAAACGGTTGTATAGTAATACGAAAACGAAATTATTATTATTATATCTACATAGTATAGCGGAATTCATCATGAATTGGTTTCTTATTTTCCTCATGGTAAATACTCATGCATATACAATAACTGAATTGACTGGATGGCTGACTGACTGACTGACTGCTGCTTATATAAAGTTGCTAATATTTTATTTATTTTTTTTTTTTGTTGCAATTGTTGTTATAATTCTTATTATACTTACAATAATATTAGTGACATATAGAATTATAATTGTATAAATAAATATAAGGAAAGGACCTTATATAGAAAGGGAGTGTATAGTTATGTATGTGCGCAAGCATAATAAAGTAATGTAATGTATGTAAGTGGTATAGTATTATAGGCATCAGATCAGATCGTGAGAAACTTCTCTGAAGGAATTCCCACATCGAAAAGAGTCACCTGCGCACTCAAATGCGTTTTTTTTTTCATTTTTTGTTGTTTTTTTTACTGCTGTTATTATTAAAATAATTTTTTTTTTGTTGTTAAATGAAAAATAAGTTGCAGCTGTTACGCTCATTTCTCTTTAGTTGGTTTTATATGGTTTGGGTTGAATTGTCGTTGTTGTTTTTTTTTTGTTGTTTTGTGTTGTGCTTTGGTTTTATACAGTTTCAGTGTGCTCTTTTACTAAATGGATACGATAAAAATTTCATTTGGTTCCGTCTTTTGATTGTTTTTAAATTTTAAAGAAATTTTTTTTTTTTCATATAATTTTTTACTTTTTAAATTGAATTTTAGATTTCTGATTACAAGAACAAAAACACAACAAACGAACGATTTTGTGCGAAAAAATGATGGGTCCTCTTTCTAGATGACAATGTGATATATTTATATCGTACAGATATTGTTCAAGGGGCAATAATTGTTTTCTTTCTGTTTTTTCTTATATGCATATTGTTCTCCTTTAATTTGATTTTTTTGTGCAATCTTCTTTTCTTTACGTGTTGTTAAAGGATTGAGTTCTAATTGTAAGGAAAAATGTTTAAAAGGTATAGATAGAGGTGGTTATAAGGAAGAGATTGGTATTATTTTGAAAGAAGAAAAAAAGTAAAATAAAAATGGCAAGTTATGAAAAAAAAATTTAGAATCTTAGTTACACATAAAATCGCAAAAAAAAAACATTTGCTTGTTTATACTTTTTAATTCATTAATAACCAAAATATTCATTATGAATGAATCAATCGTATGAGTTACATAAGAAATTTGATATAATATGATTGGATTAAGCTTACTGGTTACTGTTGTTTTTATGCAAAAAAAATTGTTTTTTTTTTTACATTTATTAATTACGACAGTGGTTACCGTGCAGAAATTGAATATTATCAATGAATATAGTGTTGGTGGTTTTTTTTTCAAACAAAATTCTCTTTACAAATAATTACGTGGCCCAATTATTTTTATTTTTTCATTGTAGATTTTAGATTTGTACAAGGGGGGCAATTTTTTTATTCTTTCTTAATTAAAATCCAGGAGAAGGAAATAAAATTTTCTTTTAACGCCTAATAATATGCAATATAAAATGATTTAGTAAAATATTGGACGCATATTCCTATTACATGTTTACTGTAAGTTCGACAATATGAACTAGTGCAAAAAATTAAATTTCCTTCACTATGCATGCCCACACAGATCTGTCTATTTCTTGAATTTTAGAATTCATAGAATTTTTGCTTTTGTTGTTTCTTGAAATCAACGGAATATAGCAAATATTTATAATTAAGAAATCTTTTCTGACTAACAGGCTTATTAATACATATTTCTAAAGAATTTTACAAAATCAATTGATAATTTTCTAAAAATATTTCTAAATTTCTTCACATTAGAAAATCGGCTTGGACAAAATGCGTATATTGCGCACGAAATTAAGTAAAAATACTCATTTTTACTTAATTTCTTAATTATGTACGCATGCATACATACATATTACATATATAAATTTACATACATATTTCTTATACATAATAAACAATTACAATATTTACAATTTATAAAAAAGAACAAATTATTTTATACTTTGTGACCACCGTTATTAGCATCATATCCAA